TGGTTTTGGTTCCAGGTGTAGTATGTATAGGAGGATGGACATGGGTGTAAGATTGGATCACTCATTGTGCTATTTGGAGAACACTCTGCTGGACTCTAAACTTGGTGAGTGCCAGTGGGTTTGACCACCAAATGAATCCAGTACAGCATGGGGCATAGCTATATTAGCCCAAATGGACTTCCAAATGGCACCTCCATGAATTCCCAAATGGCACTTTGGTTGAGCCTGCCCACTCTATGATAGATCCAGGACTTGATCCTTTCATTGGGCCTATCAGGCATCTGGCATTGGATCATCTGCAGATCCCCTCAAGAGCTGTTCTCCAGGTTTTATGTCAAAGTAGCTAGTCCAACAAATGTCCACTGATTGATATGGACAACCTTAAACACCAAAACTCTTGATCATGCAAACGAACATATCTTACCATGAATTAGCATGAACCTATCTTTGGCCTGGTTGGCCCTTGAATGGGACATGAAAATCACCCACATGAAGCCATCAGGCTTGCAACAAGTAGTCCATGACATGTTCTGTGAAATATAGGTAAACTTTAAGCATCAAAATTCTTGATCATGCAAATGAACACACCTTACCATGAAGTAGCATGACTCTATCTTTGGCTGATTGGCCCTTGCATGGGGCATGAGAACCACCCACATGAAGCCATCAGGCTTGCAACAAGTAGTCAATGACATGCTATGTGAAATCTATGTGCCATGAGGACACTGGCAAGAACACATGCAAGAACACACTAGTACCACCAGGATGTTTTGAAACCTGCTGGAATGCGCTCTTTTGCTCACTTCATTTGAAGTGGCACAAGGATTCTGAAGTCCTTGTTTTCAAAGTGTGAATGTGCAGTGGTGCAAGCCAAGGAAGAAGTATGCACAAGCTTTGCAATCTCATTCTGTCTAACAGTAGCAAAGCATCCAGTCTTGTCCACTTGAAGGACTTCGAGCATGGAAACCAAAGAGTAAGCAATGTTGTCAATGTCCACATGCATCCAGACTTGGCAAACTTGCAGGCTGTTGGTCGAACTGTGAAGGAAACAAAAATCACCTTTGCTGCAAATACCTGCTGGTTGGAGGTGTGCCTGTGAAGAGCTGTGCACAATGGTGTCAGCAGGCAACTCAAAGGCATTTAACACAATGGCTTTCAAAGCCTTGCTTGCAGCACCTTTGTTGACAAGCCTTGCCTTCTCTGAAAAGAGGTTTGGTTCCTTCAGCTTGGCAAGGTCATGGCAAATAAGCTCTGAAAGTACACTTTTTTCAAAGGTCAAAGTGTTGCTGATCGAGGTTGCATATCCTTAACACTTTCTTGAAATAGCCAAGCATCGCTTTACAACCTTATGTTTTCTTTCTTGGACAAAACAGCTGGGAAGTTGACCATGTTTTTGGAGATGAGTGCCAAAGTGAAGACACCAATGAAATTTGGTATGCATATTCCCTTTGAAACCACATGATATGCAAAGAGAAAGGAATGTCGTCACAGCTCTGTCAACCATAGCAGGGGTAATCTTTCCCTTGGGTACCAGCTGGATCAGGTCAATGATGTCTGCAAGTGCAAAGAACACCTGACACTTGTCCTTTGTAGATTGCTCTGCATTTGGGATGACAATCTGCATAAGAAAGTATCCAAAAACACCCAAAAGACCTATAGCTTCAGATGCAGTGCATTTGAAAGTGTTTGCCTTCGCATTTGCAACCTGTCTTTTTTTGGAGAACAAAGATGCCAAAGGTGTTGTCATTGACTTTGGCAGGACCCAGGTTCTGAGGCATTGCTCAATGGTGGGGTACACATTGCCAAACATACCATCAAGCTCCACCAGCAACAAATGCATAATTGTTTGGAAAATGCCTGTGACCAAGAAACAATGCATCCAGTCATGTATGAACTGAGAAATTGGGAGAACATCTTGGGACAAGCTCCTGCAGTGGAGTAAACCATGGATGCTGTAGTTGAATCCAACAGCTTGCTGCCACAAAGCAAAGTCTCCTTTGTTAAGAGTTGCCTTTTTCTCTTCAAGTCTTGATATTGTTTCAGCAATGTCTTGGTCAGTGGATTGCTGAATCCTTGTGAGGTCCCATTCATCTGCCACTAGGGTGTTGGATCCATCTTCTTGTAGTAATCCAGACTTTGAAGTAACCAAATTTCTGCAAAATATGCAGAACTTTGTTCCTGCATCACCTTTGAGATTGAATATGTACTTGTGCGCAGATCCATCTTGTAAGAATGCACCCAGTGTATAAAACATTCTAATTGTACACCCTCCCTGATCTTTCAACAAGAACCCTGCTTCTTTGGGATTGCAGGAATCTGGGCGCAGGATGCAATTCAAAATAACTTGTGTCACTTGGGACATCCCAGACTCAAGTTCTCCAACAAAACTTGATCTACAAGCCATGATGCAAAACCATGCCTCTTCTTTGCTGAGGGCAACTGGACCAAATTCCATAAAGGAAATGTATATGCATTGGACTTTTCTGCTAACATCTGCACTTAACACATTTCCTGGTACCACCTCATCACTGTAATATATGATTCTCCAGGGCTTTTGTGCAGTGCATGGGTGTTGTGTCAGTGTCCTGGTCACCAACTCTTGCAGTCCACCACCTTGTTGATATGCAGCATGTAACATTGTGAGAAAGTTCACAAACAATAATGGCTTCTCTGCACCATCCTTGCAAACAACATTGGTAGTACTCAGCATAGGTACATATGCATTGTAACCTTTCACTGTGTGGTCTCTGGCTTCAGCCACATGTTTCCTGGAATGTAGGTCAGGAAGACCATTGAGTTCAATGTCTTGAATCACTTCTGAGAGCGCACTTGCTGTGATCTGAGGGTTGTTTCTCCTCAGGCCTTCCAACCTTCTAAGTTTGGAAGCCCTAGCATCCATGGCATAGAATGCTGAATGTGTAGCCTAAAACATGGTATGCCATGATAAGGTGGTGCATGTAACACTTGAAAATGCCAACACTTCAAAAGACACACATGATGTGAGGCCTTGTGGGCCTATAGCATATGATGATGAATTTGACATGAACACAAACCACAAGCTTGAAGGCTTAGCACATGATTGCATGTGCATGTTGTGAACAGGATGACACAGCAACAAACTGTGAGCCACCAACACTAAGTGCAAACTTAAACCAATTGACATA